CATTGTATGAACAAGAAAACACAATCCTTAATATCTAACCTGTCCCTTTAAGAAATCTAATTTGTAAAAATGTGAGAAATTCAGCTTGATACCACTAGCAGCTCGGAAATTACACGCAGTACTTTTAGGATTAATGCTGTTATGTATGGATGATCTAGTGCAATAGTTTTCTCTGGCAAACGGTGTAGAACCAACGTGCCAATTCCTCAATAAATCCAGAAGGATATGCCAAAGCAAGACAGCAACACTTCCCTCCCTCACGTGGCTTTCCTGTAAAGACCTACCCTTCCTTTAAGTCTGAACATGCGTGTGTGAATCTGAATATCTTAAAACTATATGCTCACAGTCCAAATATGGTCTGTGTTTCAGACTTGGCTTGAGTCAGTGACAAAATGCGCATTTCAAAACAGTTCTCCCGCCCCTGACAATGGTTATTTGCTGTAAATAAACATTTATGTCCCATGGTTCCCAGCTCAGCTCCTAAAGCTGCCATTACAGTCAGCATGTGTAACAGGAAGTGGGAGTATAGGAACTAGGAGGCACCAGACATCCAGAAATTTCAGAAGCACACTGTTCTCTGTGGCAAGATGGGCACCACACCTCCAGACAGAGCACATCGGGTTTTGATAACCTCAATAGATCAACTGCAATTTCTTTCTGTGTGTATAATGTACATTTTTCATTCTTGTAGTATTTATTACTTTCAAGAACTAGACTGGTATGCAACTCAAAAGGTGAAGACACAAACGTTGAACTAAATTGTGCAATCATAAGTTGAACAAAGTGGATAAAGTGCATAAAATCTGCATTCCAGACAGCTGCTGCTAAACAATAGAAAGTGTGTGTGCAGGAAATCAATACAGTGTGTCTCTGGACACGGCACACCACAAACATCCTTTAACTGTACAGCACACCTTCCCATTCACAAAGACAAGCCAGGATGACACAACAGCTCTGTTTAAAAAACAAAGTCGTGGTGAGAATTATTGGCAGCCTTGGTAAATATGATCAAAGAAGGCTGTGAAAATAAATCTGCATTGTTAATCATTTTGATCTTTTATTTAAAAAAATTCACAAATATCTAACCTTTCATTAAACTAAAACAATTGAAAATGGGGGAAAATCTCATTATGAAATAAATGTTTTTCTCAAATACACGTTGGACACAATTATTGGCACCCCTAGAAATTCTTATGAGTAAAATATCTGTGAAGTATATTCCCATTCATATTTACAATTTTGAGCATACCAGGGTGATTATGAACATGAAATTATCCAGCCATGGCTTCCTGTTTCACAGGAATATAAATTGGAGGGAAAACAAAGGCCAATTCTGACCACGACTGTATATATATATATATATATATATATATTGCTGTATATAAAATATACTATATACAATAATATATGTCATTACTGAAAAATAAAAAAAATTTTTGTCATTTAAAGTTTGTTTTACACCAGTAGTTCTCAACCAGGAGGTCGGGAGTCTCGGGACCCACCTCCAGGGGCACCCAATAAGTCTTAAAATTATAAAAATGTAGTTATATTAAAATACTCTTAATTAAATGCTAAAACACACACACTGATTTGCACAGTATTTATGTATGCTGTGTATTTTTATGATTATAAGAATCCTTGCTGTTAGATCAGATGTTCCACCCTGCAAAAACCCATTTCAGGTCAATTTCTAATGATTGACGGGGAGGTTGGCATTAAACGCAAACAAACACACACATAGACAAACATCTCTATCTTGGTGCTAACCGAATAGTCATACATTCCTTGGCCTTTAAATGGAGGTGGAAATGAGCCCTGCGTGATGCATGTGACCTTTACTGACGTCCAAAGATGAACACACACACAAACACACTATTACAAAAACCTCTCACACACACAGTCATTCTTTGAGCTATAAATCAGCCATAAAAAAATCTATTTTTCACACACAACATAACTGCAGAAAACTGATATGTCTCTTAACCTTTTTAGATGTTGCAAAAAATGTAATCATGTGTTTTTTGCTAAAGGTTAAAAGTGAGGAACGGTGACTCTGAAAAGTCTGTAAATAGTGCCAACTGTACTGGCCTTAAATGACACAGCTGTGCCTATGTTAGATTGATTGCCAAGAATGAATAAACATGCATTCTAAAGCCAACCCATTAGCTTTATACAAAAATAGGCTGCATGCAAAAAGGCAAACTATACAGCGATATTCTATCCACACAGAAAAGTCCAATCTGATGCCTTGAAGGCACAGTCCCGCTGGTGTAACTAACCCACAAACAAAAGGATACAAAACACACATACACACACACAAAGAGAGTAGCATGTGCTGCCTAGAAAACCACAGCAAGAGGGAAACCACAGGCAGGGTAATAACACTAAGACTGCAGCATTTCTGACTTGCTGCCAAATAAACGGATGTAAAAAGGAAAGGAATTTTTTCCATCTCTACACCCCTCTCCTCTCCCTCTGACTCTGTGGCTAACTTCTGCAGAGCTGGTGTTTGGATGGCTATCCTAAACCTGGAGGTTTAAAAGTTCAGATTTTTCTTTGACTAAAAGCATGTTTACAGTCTGAGACTGCAATTCCAACATCTCATACCTTAAGTGCACTCAAGTAGGTTATGTTTTGTGGGAAATCTTGTGAGAATTCTTGTGTTTTGAGAATCTTTTGAGTGAGGGGTTGGACAAAAATAAACAGCATATAGAATTTGTTTATTTACTATAGATAAGATAAATACAGAATGTCAAGAGGTTAGAGGATGTCGAGAGATTGAGAATGAGGATAAAGAAAGAGAAGATTATAAAATGAAGTCATAGAAATTAAAGAATATTAAAGCTATAGTGTGACTCGTGAGGTTGTAAAAGTGTCGCAGAAACTGTTGAACAGCTTCGGAATAAGGTTATACTGGCTACAGAATTCTTAAGTGTTTCGAGAATCAAGTTATTAGAGATAAAACCTAAAATTTTGCCAATACCCAATGGCATATATTAAAAATTCTATACAATTTTATCTAAAATATCACAAATTACGGTGAATTTTGTTACAACAGTTACAGGTCATTTTGAGGACAAAATATGATAAAAGGTATACTATAGATTGTTGAGAGGCTACAGAATGAACCTATAGAGATTATAGAATATTGAGTGGTTTTAAAATGATAAACTTTTGAGAGCATATGGAATGATGTTATACATAATTTAAGAAGCTAAAGATGGTTATAGAATGTTGAGAGGTTTTAAAATTATAAACTCTTGAGAGGATATACTGTATAACAAGATTACACAACTAAAATTTTGAGAGGCTACAGAATGAGATTAGAGAATGTTGAGATGTTTCAGAATATTTAAGACAGAAAATTAGGTTATAAAAGCTGTAGAGTATTGAAACTGTTGCTTAAAAGAATGAAGAGAGGAGATTGTGGGTTTATGGAGCAGGAAGAAGGGAGGACAGTATAAATAAGTGAGAGAGGAGAAAGAAGATGAAAGAGGGAGGTGTGTGGGATGTACACTGGTAGCTGCTAATGCAGTGAGGCCTCAACACACTGGAATGTGCTGGACTCAGCCGACTGGACGTCCAGTCCAGACTCAACAACAACACACAAAGCACCTCATTTACCCTGCACACATAAATCTAGCAATAAAAGGTAAACATTTATCACAAACTGGAAGTGAATGCATCGATAAAATTCTTCAAATGTTTGAGAGTGTGCGTATGTGTTGGTTGGATGCCTCGTCTGCGCCTCTGCACACAGCCACAGTGAGGCACTATCACATGACACTTTTGACTGTCCACATGCCTGGAAAGGGAAAACCCCTGTGGTTACTGACCTGGATACAGCTTAAACACTTATTAGGAGTTATACCGATATAAGAAGATCTGATCCTGGATCAGGCCACTCTGAGCGAGTCAAACAGGGTGTGTCAGTCAATTTTGTCTGTCACGAGTGACAAAACTCTCAAGTCTGCCAAACTCTGCTGACGTCAACTCGCATCACGCCAGCTAAAATAAACAACACACACATAATCAGAGGCTACTGGTGGATTTCACCACTGTGCAGATGCTCTCCCTCTGTATATCCTGGTCACATCCTCTAGGTGTGATGTTTTAGAAATCAAAATGGTAGTTTCACTATAAAGGTGTGACCACACACATTAGTGAAATTTGGCTACATTTTGTGGGCAAAAAAGGCCTATTGTCTACTGTCAATAGTGTAGCGATGTACAGTATGAAGCACAGCTCACACAGAAATCACTTTCAAACCAATGCAGCAAATTTGCAAGACAAACTGAACAAACTGTACAAAACAACCAGGACTTCTATTGAAATGACTGGATTTCACCTGCGAAAATTTGCTGAACAAAAACTTATCTTCCGTCAAAATGGAAGTTTCACTGTAAAGCCTTTGTTTTTTATGCATAGGTTAGCATTAAAAATTGCGGGTAACTTTAAATATCCTCACACAAGCACTTGTCAATGCGGGCATCTATGGTTTTTACCGGAGTTTGTTGTTGTTCTTGTTCTGTCTTTGAAACAACAGCTTAGGCCAGTGTTGCCACATTGTGGACATACTAATTAGTGCAAAAACATATGAGCATACAACATATGCATACAATGGTAAAAGTGACCACACCCGAAGTTAGCATATATGCATTTGTCTGTGTCAACATGGCAGTTTCACTAGAAAGGTGCAATCACATTAGCAAACTTTTGAGGGCAAAAAATAGGTCCACTGTTCTTTGTCAATATAGTAGCAGTGTATGAAGCACACACAGAAGTTAGTTTTAAACTGAGCAGTTTTCTGTTAGTTAAAGTGATGATTTTGCATAACAAATTGAACCTGATATGAAGTCTGCGAAGTGAAATTTTTGACCTCATGCAAAATTCTTGATTGCGTGGATTGATTCCTATGACTGCATTTTGTCTATGAAAATTCGCCAGACAATGGTAAATGTTACTGCTCTTTAAGCCAGCATATGTGTATGTCTGCGTACCTTCGGACGACGATTCTGAGAACCCTGTAAGAACCTTTGATGAGGATGAGAGCTTCTTGACGGGAGCCATAGAGAGCAGAGCTGTTAATGTTCACCAGTTCATCCCCCACTCTCAACTTCTTACACTGAGCTGCCTTTCCTCCCTCTTCTATCTTTAGGAGAGACAGAGAAAAACAGTTTAAGGTTAAATATTATATTTATATATGTGTCATATACATTCACACACACCACAGAGGGAGGTCTTCTGAAGAAAAAAGGCCATTATAACAGATTCTTTTCTCCTGTCAAAGAGGACTTGGAGGTTAAATTCTTAAATCAGAGAAGCACACACACTTGACAGAACTTGCTTACAGATAAGCACGTTTACCCACACGGCCTTGTCCATTTAACATGTAACCACTTCCTCTTTTAAAAAACGCAGGACAGAGGGGTCAGAAGTCAAACATACATTCAATGTATACAGCCATTCATCATACACGCATACAGACACACAATACCAAGTTATTCCATTAGGGACCCTCCTACATAAAATAGGACAAAGGGTCAAAGATCAGCTCCAAAGCCACGTAATTCCCATACACAAAATATTAGCCTAGTCAAAACATACACAATCACACTTTCACTCAGTCACGCACATATAAATCTCAGCTTCCAACATAAACGCACACTTTTCATGTTAGGCAGACACATGCATTACAGAGTATCATACTCATTTTTAGGTCTTACATTAGAGCCCATTTCTCTTTAAACAAATCCTACCATAAAAGCACACAACTAATGCCACAAAGCTTTCAAATTGAAGTCACATTTCTCTTTTTAGTGGCTACCGTCATGGTGCAAACCAGGGGATTCAAACTATAGGCCACATTCGGCCCGAGAAATACATTCTTTTTTTTTTAAAGATTTATTTTTGGCGTTTTTGCCTTTTATTGATAGGATAGTAGTAAGACAGGAAGCGAAGAGGGAGAGAGAGGGGGGATGGGATCGGGAAAGGTCCGCAAGCCGGGACTCGAACACGGGATGCCCGAAGCGTAATGGCGCTACATGTCGATGCGCTGCCCACGAGGCTATCGGTGACCGAGAAATACATTCTTACTAGAGTGTTAACAGTTGACCAATATACAGTATATATACACACTATAAACACAATAAAGGAGGGTTTCCTTTCATAAATTCCTCAAATTATAAAATGGTTCATCATGAAATCTAATTTAATTTAAAATAGTTGTTTAAACAGAGAATGATGCTTGGAATGCCAAAGTAATGGGTTTGATTCCCAGGGAATGCATGAATGCAAATGTCACTTTGGATAAAAGTGTCTGCCAAATGCATATTTGTAAAACTAAAAAAATCATAAAAAGTTCAGCATGCAATGTGATGTAACATCAGACTATTTTTTTCTTTATTTTGCAGCAGAACCAGTAAACATACTCCAAAGTAAAAAAATAAAAAAAAGTTGCTTAATACACATGCAATCATTTTGCAACAAGTGAGCCCCTGTGTTTCAACAATGAAACCAAATCTTACTGAAACATGTTCACACTTTACCATTTTGTAAGACTCATCCAATGCTAACTGCCGGTCTGCACTGTAGAGTAAACAGATGCACATGTGTTGTGTGTGAATGTGTGTATGCGGTGAGCATTGCATGAATATTTGAGTGTGGTTTTGGAGGAGATCAAAGACAGAACGTGTCCAGAGGGGCATAAAGGGAATATTCATGCGGCCGGAATAAAATGCTCGGTGGGGTTCATACTAGTGGTCGACCGATATATCGCCAAGGCCGATATATCGGCCGATATTTGGCATTTTTAAAATATCGGCATCGGCCGATGAGTTTTCCTGTTTGGCCGATGCGTTCGAGGCGGGACTTTTATTTTGACAGCGCGCCATACATTTATTTTGACGGTGCTGAGAACGGCAGCGCCTGAGCACAGAGTTCTCACATTCTCCCTCTTGTTCGCTGTCGTCGTTAACAGTTCTGTCTAATACGGACAGAAATCTGTCTAATAATCAGATAGAACGGTTAAACAAAGGAATTAAAATGTATACAAAAAGTATTATAACGATTGCTTTTATATTATTAGTAATAGAAAGGCAAACATTATAATACTTTCTTGTTTGCCGTCAGCATTCAGCAAATACGCATTTATATCATTTAAACAAATCTTTAAATGACTAATGAACATTTAGTTTCACAAACCTTGCAAACTTAGTCGGATCCAGTTGTGAGATCTTGTGAAGTGTGCATGTGTATCCTGCATGATCGCGTGTTCTCTGCGTGATGGTCGATCTGTGTGAATTGAATGAGGACTGGAGGAGAGTTCAGCTTCAGTGGAGACGCGCGATCGACAAACTTTAAACTTGTGATTTTAAATTATGCTGCGTTTCATGCATTTGCCCACTGCCATATTCATGTCATTTCCACTGTGTGCTGTATGTAAAATGAGTGTTACCTTGGCTTTATTTGAAAAAATATGATTCCCAATGCACACAAACTTCCCAGAATACTGAGTGCCCTGTTGGTTACAGTGTTTACTTCCTTTTTTTTCTTATATTTTTTATTAAACATTTATTTATTTGTGAAAAATACTTTGTGATCTAAAGTATAAGTATGTTTATTTAACACATTTATTTTTTAATCCATTTTCAAATTATTTTAAAATTTCTTAAATATTAATTAAAATAAATAAAATTATATCGGCTTTATATCGGCCATCGGCCACCCTGCTTTCAAAGATATCGGCATCGGCTGTCAAAAAACCAGTATCGGTCGACCACTAGTTCACATACTTCACCAAATATTCAGATTTTGTCTCATAAGCAGGTCCAGACACAATCTGGAGATGTTTTTGCATTTTCTGTGCTAATCTTGGGGGAAAATCTACAGAAATCTGAGAAATGAATTTAGACAGGATAAAATGTTTAAACAGACCTGAAAATACCCAGTACCTGAATGCATAATCAAATAAGCCAACATATTTAATAACCCGAACACGCAGGAAGAGCTTTGTGAATAATGGTCTTTCTGATTCTGTGGAAACCTGAAGAGCTCAGAAGCTGTCCGCTTGTCAATTTAGGTGACCTGAAAGAGCAAACACTTCGAAGAGACCAGAGATGTTTTTGAGACACGGAAACAGAGGAGAAGATCCAGACAGACAAATAAAAAAATAAAAAAGTGATTTCTGCATGACTGAAAGACTCTTTGAGGACTCAGAACAAAGGTTCCAGAAAAGACCTCATAAATGTCTTTTGGATAACTTTTGATTCCACTTTAGCATATGTGACCCTGGACCACAAAACCAGTCTTAAGTCGCTGGGGTATATTTGTAGCAATAGCCAAAAATACATTGTATGGGTCAAAATTATAGATTTTTCTTTTATGCCAAAAATCATTAGGATATTAAGTAAAGATCATGTTCCATGAAGATATTTTGTAAAATTCCTACTGTAAATATATTGAAACTTAATTTTTGATTAGTAATATGCATTGCTAAGAACTTCATTTGGACAACTTTAAAGGGGTCATATGACGTGGCTAAAAAGAACATTATTTTGTGTATTTGGTGTAATGCAATGAGTTTATGCGGTTTAAGGTTCAAAAAAACACATTATTTTCCATATAATGTACATTATTGTTGCTCCTCTATGCCCCGCCTTTCTGAAACGCGTTGATTTTTACAAAGCTCATCGGTCTGAAAAAGCGAGGTGTGCTCTGATTGGCCAGCTATCCAGTGCGTTGTGATTGGCCAGATACCTCAAGCGTGTGACGGAAATGTTACGCCCTTACCATACTGTGGTGCCGTCTCCCAGCACGATGAGACAAAACCAATAAAACTCATTACAAACGAAGCATTTGTTGCATCCAGTGGGGACATAATTACTGATTTTATTTATATGCTTTCAGATGATGTATAAATCTCAATTTCGAAAAATTTACCCTTATGGTCCAGGGTCACATATTCTAATGACTGATTCATTTCCTGGGAAGAAATGAAATGATCATTGCAATAACATCACTCAGAGATGCTGACTGAATGACTGTCTTGTTCCCACAGGCCTGCAGTCTTTCTCCTGTATTCTGCTGGTTTAAGATGCAAAATAGCTGGTTGCATGAAATGGAGCATTATTCAGATGTATGGTCACAATTACAGCCTAGCTGAGGACATTGCTCTTTCTTGCTCCGTCCCTCCTTCCCATCTGCTCCAAACAGACTGTTTCCACGGGATACTATAATCAACATCCTCAAAGCCCTTCAGACTGGACCACAGGGGTTTCGTCTCAATTCTGAGAGGATGCACATGTTTGTTTGTACATGCAACACAGATGACACTTGTTTGAATAACTCTTTTTCCACTTGGTTTTCAACTGAATGAATATGTGTTCCATCTCAGAGACCTGAATTTGTCCTGTAAATCCAATAAACTTCTGTGCGAGTCTAAATGAAACCGGTGTACAGTATGTTCTCCAGGTGCATTGGTGCAGGAGAGAAGTGATGTAGCCTGAGTGACCTTCCATTAGTTCATTAAACTCAAAACAAAGTCTTTTTCCACACTAAAATCCAATCTGCTGCACATACTCCCCTGGAAAAGCCCAGTAACCCTCATAGCAGGTATGTTTTATGGCAGGATATGTAACACTGTTGCACAAAGAGAACAAATTCGCATAGTTGGCAGGCATACCCAAGTACCCCCTTGGCAATAAAACAAACTCACACACACCATCTTATATGGGATGATATTAGACTCAAAAGGATTAATATATGCACGCACAATTATCCTTGTACTGCATACATTTTATACATGTATCTTACTAACCACAAACAAATACCTTTCAATTTGAGTGTGGAATTCATGATTAAATGGTTGTGCAGCGATTTGTACAAATACAGACATGTTTGCGAATAAAAATGTTCTGTTCTGCATTAATATATCATAAATTGTTCATGCAAAAAGGAATCTGTGCATAAGTGGATCAGGTGACACGCGTGCATTAATTGCCGTCTAGTTCGAGTCGATCTTGTTCGGTTCATTTGGATTTTGAGACTTCATTTTCGCAGTTTACAGCATTTCACATCCCCCACACACACAACTACCAACGAACAAGGTCCAGTGCAATTCATTGATGTGTACACGATTTGAAAAATTCACAA